TGTAGCCATTTTTTATGCCAGTATAATATTTGCTTGAAAGATTTGTCCAGCTTTCAGGAATCTTAAGCACTCTTCCTGAAAGGCCAGTAATTTCACAATCTTTTGGCTCTATTTCTGTAGCAGTATTCACATCGCCACTTCCTGTTGTATCAATATCAATGATTTTTGGTTTTCCGTCACTTGGAACCTGCATTTCCAGAGCCCCAGGGTCAACTCTGGTCTCCAGGACGGCGATGAGCACCCCCTGCCCGTCATACTTCGGGTAGCAGCAGAGGAACGAGGTGGCCCCAGTCTCTTTCTTGGGCAGGGGACCATGGAAAGGGAAGGGCTGTGGTGGCCATGGACACAGGGCGGAGGATGGATGAGGAAGAGACAAACTGCCAGGCTTCGCACCTGGCCCTCTGTTTTTGGAGACAAGGTCTTACTATGCAGTTCAGGTGGCCTTGAACTCTCTCTGTAGTCCAGGATGGCCTCAAACTCACGGCAATCCTTCTACCTCAGCCTCCCACATGCTGGGATTATAGATGTACACCACCACTCCTAGCCTCAAGAAGTTTACTTATGTCTTCTTTCACTTATTCTAGGAAGAACTGCAGGCCAACTTGGACTTAATTCAAACCTACAGACTGCATATTGCCCAAGATATCAACCAAGAAAATCTACAGCTCTTCCTGGGTTCTTATAATGGGTACGGTTGTTTCCCACTCCTTCACTTAGGTATAGACCAGGTCTAAAATGATCGTTGGCCTTTAAAGGGGGAAGCAGGGGAAGTAGACTACTTCTCCCATATTGTATGATGGGTTAGCTATATGCTGTCTCACCAAAATAGGAGCAGGATTCTAAGACACATGTGAAAATAGCTTTCAGGAAGATGCAGTGAACTGAAAGCCATTTCATGAATGTTAACATGCCAGTTGTAGTTTTAAGACGTTGTTGTCATCACCTCCGCTGCCGCCGCCGCCTCCTCTTCCTCCTCCCCCTGCTCCTCCTCTTCCTCCTCCCCCTGCTCCTCCTCCTGCTCCTTCTTCTCCTTCTCCTTCTGCTCTTCCCTCTCCTCCTTTTCTTCCTCCTCCTCTTCCTCCTTTTTCCTTTTTGTTTTTTTAAAACAGCGTATCACTTGCTATGTGGTTTAGGTTGATCTGGACTGCACTATACAGCCCAAGGGGTGGCCTCAATCCCATGGTGATCCTCTTGCCTCAGCCTCCCAAGTGCTGGGATTATAGGATGTTCCACCATGCCTAGCTCAAGCTGTTTTCAAACTAAAGGAACCACAGGTATATACACCCACAAAAACACTCAAATCATGTGAGATAGTCCAAGAAAATGCATGTGAGTTAGGCATGGTGGTGTGGGGTTGTAATCCTAGTACTCAGGAAGCTGAGGCAGGGGGATCCTTATGAGTTTGAGACCAACCTGGGCTACAAAGAAGCTCAAGGCCAGCCTGAACTATGTAGCGAGACCTTGTCTCAAAAAGACCAAAAGAGGCCAGGGAGATGGCTCAGTAGAATAAGTGCTTGCAGGGCCTGAGTTCAATCCCCGGTCCGCAAAAAAAAAAAAAAAAAATAGAGAGCGAGAGAGAGAAAAAGAGAGAGAAAGAAGATGCATGTGGAGAGAGAAGGAGAAACAGACGTGGCTTCAAGTTAGTTGCTCTTTGCTGATAGCGTGTGATCAAGTAAAAGTAATGCATACGTGCTAGTCAGTTCTCTGGTTTGTGTATTTGAAAATACACTGTCACACCCTCCAGCCCACCCATCACAGCCAAGGTAAGGCGACAACACTGATTATCTGAGAATAGCTTTTCCAAGGTGAAAATTATAGCTCCTTCTCACTTTCTGGAAACATGAAAAAAAGACGGAGGAAATGGGTCAGAGTTACACAGCCAGCAAGGATTTTGTTTTGCTTTGGTTTGGTGGTTTTACAGTACCTGTGATTTAACTCGGGATGTTGCACTTGCTGGGCAAGTGCTTATGCCGCTGAGCTGTATCCCAAGTTTTGAACCTGATCCTAGAGCCTCTTTTCTGTTTTTAGTTGAAATTAGAAAGATTAAGTGCTGTGCTCACCTGTTACAAGGAAAGCGCTCCATAGCCCGGTGTGGTGGTGCACACCTATAATATCAGCACTTGGGAGGCTGAGGCAGGAGGATCCTTGTGAGTTTGAGACCAGCATGGACTACAAAGTGAGCTCAAGGCCAACCTGAGCTTTATAGTAAGACCTTGTCTCAAAAAGACCAAAAAAGCCAGGGAGATGGCTCAGTGGAATAAGCGCTTCCCTGGCAAGCGCAGGACCTGAGTTCAATCCCTGGTTCCACCAAAAACAAAAAACAAAAAAAAAAAGACCAAAAAAAAAAAAAAAAAAGGAAAAAGCTCCTCATAAGTAAAAGTGATATGAGTCATTTTCTTCTCTTGTTGAATGTATTCCTGTAAACTAGTTGGAAAATTAAGACTTAGGACTTGAGAGTTTCATTAGTCTTGCTTTTGAGGGTTTTTAAAATGTATTTAGTACAGGGCCTCACTACAGAGATCAGGCTCATAGTAATCCTCCTGTTTTCAGTCTCCCAAGTGCTGGGCTTAAAGAGGTGTGTCACCACACCCAGTCTCAGTCACCATCTCAGCACACCCAAGGAGCCAGCCCAGCATGCTAGAAATCAAACCCCAGTCCTTGCATCTGCCTAAGCAGATGCTTTAATCCACTGCGCTATCTGGCCCACCTTGCTATTGAATTTTAAAGTTGAATCCTTTTAGCACTCCACAGAATCCCTTGTTCGTACTCTGTACTGTTCAGGAGGCCCCTGGAGTGGCTGCTCCAGAGCAGTGTTCATGACAGTGTTCCTGGGTATGAAAGAAGAATACTTCTTTCCTTTCCTTTCCTTTGGCTGCTCCAGAGCAGTGTTCATGACAGTGTTCCTGGGTATGAAAGAAGAATACTTACATTCCTTGATGTGTTTTGGTCTTCAAAGGTATTGACTTCTGCTTTGTTCTTCTAGACGCAGAGACTTGGAAATTGAAAGACCCATTCTAGGCCAAAATGATAACAGATTAAAAACATTAAAGTAAGTCCCTTGCTTTCCCGACTAATTCAGTGTTGAGTGGAGTATGGGTGATGTGTGCTTATTTCCTGAGTGATACCTCTTCTTCTGCCTGTTCCTAGGTGTTCTACTTTACTGGTGGTGGGGGACAATTCACCTGCTGTTGAGGCTGTGGTAAGTGTGTCCTGATACTACAAGGAAGACATTAAAATGTAATAAAATGTGTATAGCACTCTACTGACATAATAGAAGTAGTTATTACTAGCTTTTCAGCTTTTCTTTGCTATACATATGAGAACGTCAGTTTTTTGTCAGTCACTAGGCTTCCTCAGAAGGGGCCATTGTTGCCCTTGATTGCTTTTTGTGGTATAATTCACTTTGTGGCAAGTAGTACAGTAAGGCACCATTTAGTTATTGTCAGAGTACAGGCAGCCCAGCCTTCAGTGTAGAATTGATTACACCATAATGGCCGCAGGCTGCAGGACTGCCAGGAGCCTGTGTACAGGCCAGGCGTAGTGGCGTATGCCTGTAGCCCCAGCACGTGGGAGGCTGAGCAGGAGAATCGTTGCAAGTTTCAGGCAAGGCTGGACGACAAAGTGAGCTCAAGGACAGGTTGAATTGCATAGCAAGACTCCGTCTCAAAAAGACCAAGAAAAGAACCTATTTACTTTTCCTCTACCTCCTTCTCAAGTACATATTCATTCAAAAAAATCACCAGTTGTAGAGGCACACCTAAATAATTCTAGCATTCAGGAGGCTGAAACAGCCTGGGCTACATAGTGAGACTTAATCTCAAAAAAGAAAGAAAATATGAAAACATTTAAAAACGGAAGGATGGGATAATGAAAGCCAATTATGAGCCCATTATCCCAGAGAAACTGTTATCTTTTTAACACAGACCTAATTATATTAACTATAAAAGATTTGAGGGCCTTATTGTTTCACTTGTTGTTTTTTTTTTTTTTTTTTTTGGTCTTTTTGAGACAATCTTACTACACAGTTCAAGCTGGCGAGCTCACTTTGTAGCCCAAGCTGGTATCAGACTTGATCTTCTTGCCTCAGTCTCCCAAGTGCCGAGTTTCACACTGTTATAACATTTTTACATGTTATAAAGTCAGTATGTCTACATAATATTCAGGAACTGGGGAAATAGCTCAGTGGAATAAGTGTTTGCCTGGCAAGCATAGGGTCCTGAGTTCAATCCCTAGTACTGCAAAAATAATAATAATAATAATAATATATTCAGTCTATTTATATGTCCTTATTTACTTAATTTTTCCTGTTGCTTATTTATGATTTTGTGCCACTATTAGTATTGAATTCCTTTATTAAATCTTTGGCTGGGGGCTGGTGAGATGGCTCAGTGGTCTAAAGCACCTACTTAGAACAAGCTAAGCTAAGCAAAGCAAAGCACAGGGACCGCGGTTCAATCCCCCAGCACCACATGCCAGCCAGCCCCGCCCCCTGGTGGGCTGAGCTGGCCACACACACACACACAAATAAATAAATAAAATTTTTAAAAAAATCAATCAATCAATCAATCAATCTTTGGCTGAATATTTCCATGAAGTAAGTTTGCAAAAATTAGTTCAAAACTTTTTTTTTTGAGTCTGGGTCTCACTGTGTAGTTCAGGCTGGCCTCAAATTTGCAATGATCCTTCTGCCATACCCTCCCAACTACTAGGATTACAAGTATCCACTACCGAGCCCAGCCAGAAACCAGGCTTTTGTTGGGTATGGTGGCACATGCTTGCAACCCCAGGTGGGAGGCTGAAGTAAGAAAAGCACAAGTTCAAGGTATCCTTAGAAATTTAGTAAGGCATGTCTCAAAATAAATAAAAGGCTTGAGGATATAGTTCAGTGCTGGAGTGCAACTCCAGCATGCCCAGGGCCTGGCTTCAACCCCCAGTATTGCAAGTGCATACAGTGTGATGCAGTACAATACAGTTACAGTCTACTACACTACAATACAAAACTTCTATAAGGACTTTTAATACATTTTGCCAGATCCACTTCCAGAAAAGATATACTACTCTATTGCTACCAGGAATATATGAAACTGGGCCCGGGGAGACAGCTCAGTAGAATAAGTGCTTGCCTGGCAAGCGCAGGGTCCTGAGTTCAATCCCTGGTACTGCAAAAAAAAAAAAAAACAACCAAAACCATCTACAGGAATATATGAAACTTCCGGTTTCAGTGCTCCCTATTCTGTAGCACTAAATTTATTTGTTTTTGCAGTGCTAGGAACTGAACTAAGAGCTTCGTACATGTGACAAAGACCTGTGTAACTGAGCTGTGTCTCAAGCCTTCCAGAATTTTATTATAGTAATTTTATAGGTTAAAAATGGTATTTTTGGCTGGGTATGGTGGCACACACACCTGTAATCCCAGCATTCAGGAGGCAGAAGCAAGAGGATCAGCTTGGGCTTGATGTCAGCTTGCACTACATAGCAAGACTTTTCAAAAACAAAAAATGATGTTCTTACCATTTTAATTTGCATTTGTTTGACTACAAATGAAGCTAATGGTTTGCAGATGACTATTAGGTAATTTTCATACCTTGTTTATTTTTTTAATTTTTTAATTTTTTTTGGAATTTGGAAAACCGTTTATTACTGAGCTCATCCCCCCCCATTCGCTCTCAACGCAGGAGAAGAGCGAAAGCCCCACACCTTGTTTTTTTTATTTTTTATTTTTTTGCAGAACCAGGGATTGAACTCAGGCCCTTGCACTTG